TTTTTTCAAAAAATCATAACTTTTGAAAGAAGAGCTCGATCAGCACAAACTTAACTCATTTAGTAATCAAATATAAGAAAAATTAGGATAATGGCTTTTTTGGATTTTATCGCGAAGTTTCCAGATTTTTGGAATTGTTTCTCAAAAATTCCGAATTTCGGATCTTTTCGTTCTTTCATTTTTATCTCTGCAATCTGAACATGCTGGAAAGTCGCCAAGGAACCATTGGAAACTCCATGCTTAACGCTTTCTAATAAAATTTGAATTGCGCAAAATCGCCGTGACGGAAAGGAGTTATGATTTTTTGAAAATGGTGCGAACGAACTTTCGGTTCAACCTAATACTTTGAAAATTGATTTTTGAATAGAGATGTAGTCCAAAATGATGTTATCCTTATGGCGGCTATAAAGCCAAAATAATTTCACTATTTCCCATTCAGAAACGTACTTGTTTTTCTGCGGAAAAATCTTTCTCCCAAAATGACCGATGTTACATGGAAAAGCTTTTGAAATGAACGGTTGCTTACAATTCATTCGTGATGATCGGCATTGCGCGGTAAGTTTCGTTATTATCATGCGACACGATGAAGGCACACGTATAGTAGAGCCCGTACGAACCTCTGCGAAGCAGAGATGTCTCACTGGTAGATATACAGGGTGTCCTAACAGTAAGTACACACTTTTCAATTGTCAATATCTCTCTTCCCAGTGGATCTTTTTTTGCCGCTCAAGTACCATTCAAGTACCATTCTGTAGAGGGGGCTTCAACTTAGATTTACAGTATCGATCGAATCACCGATCGCTCTTCGTTACTGTAGGATTACGGTAGGAACTTCCAGCATGTGAAACCATTGAGAAACATGCCATCTGACAAAATTTTTTCAAAAATTCTGAAAAATTGTGTACTAGGGTTTTCGCGCACGCTGATTCCACTACATAACTTTTTACGAGTGTGTTTTCAGCTTTTTTGATGGTGCAATCACATTTCTGACAAATACTGGGATTTCGGTTATTAAGGTTTACCTGGGATAACTTTGGAAAGAAGCATCACAGTAAAGTAGAAATTTCATATTCGAAATCAGAGGATTCCTCAACCATAGCACAAGGGTAATCGGCTCGTTTGGTTTCGTTGCAAGGCAGAATATGGCCTCCAATGGGCTAAAATCCTTGTCGAAATTCGTACAGTAATCCTACAGTAATGAAGAAAGGTCGGTTTCGCTCGATACTGTAAATCTAAGTTGAAGCCTCTTCTACAGAATGGTACTTAAATGGAAAAAAAACACAGTGGGAAGAGAGATATTGACAATTGAAAAGTGTGTACTTACTTTTGGGACACCCTGTATATATATTTATTAGGTAATTTATTTATTTCTCTCTAGGTCTTCAGAAAAGACTCGAAATTAAGCAAGACATATCTTAAGCTGTGCGCTACTGTTTTCGATCCTTCTAAGTTGTTGCTTGTTTGCCCGGACTTTGACAGAGTTATCTCTATAAAGAACTTCATTTTTGCTATCACAAAACACAACTACTACAATGAATTATGGAAACCACCAGGATTTTCAAAGTTCAGGACTTGTGTTACTGACATCATTCACGCAGGATATTCGAGCTGCAACATGTTTAAAAAAATTGGCGTCTCGGAATTTCGGATGTTTATCACTGCATTCACCCAAATACCTAATACTCTATCAAACATATGACTAGCTATAACTGATCTAACTTAAAACAAATATATGGCAGCAAAAGCTCAAAGTTACGCGATAGCGTATAGATGATTAGAGGTTTTTGTAAGCTGGTTTGAAAAGCCTTAGCGATAATACTGCAATTAAAAAGTTTGAATGATGCTTCCAAGCTGATCCGATTATTGAATTTACTACTTACCGCAGATAACGCCTGCCGACGGCTTCTCAAGCAGGCTAGCTAGGCAGGAGTTATGGAGCAATGGTGTTGCGCATTCCCGTAGGCATAATCCGCATACATTTTTTTGTGTGAAGACACGCTCAAGACTAGCTCACGAAGAATGTAGAAGGGTTATCCAAAGAACGTGAGAAACCTGCTCCGAAGTTTCCAAGCTCATAAAAAAACGAGGGTTTGCAATTGGTCAAGCGCAAAGTATAATACATTTCCTAATCAGGTTTTCTCACATAGCATTGAATGAATTCCCGTTCATTGAGTCCCCATTTCCCTGCAATGGATCGTCAGTAATTCGCGAATTACAATTCAAGCACTACAAGCGCACTTTGACAAATTTGGTCAAAGTACTCAGATCTATGATCAGGCAGTAAAGATTGATTTTTGAAAGCTGAACTTTAAGGGTCGATAACTGCAAATTCAAGTATGCCAGCCCTCGACCACTAGCAAACATGTCGCTTTATATGAAGGAAAGAATTTGCAACTTTTACATGGATAATTGATTACTCTGCGAAAATAAACGGACTCACTTGGTATTAGTGATTCAAGCACAAGTTTGTGAATGTGAGTACAAAAAATAAGCCCCTCTGTCATGGTATGTCAAGCTCACACATGCAACTGCACTTCACCCTTTTTCGCAGAGAATTTGCAAAATCCAATTTGCTTATTATATGGCCAATAACTTTGAAATGGATCGGAGCTTCTTGTCGAAATCCCTTAAGTGGGTGACGTAGAGCAGTTTGCAGAAATTTTTTTTTCGAATTTTCTTCAATTTTCTCTACTCGATTTGCTGATTACAAGCATGATACTGCAGAGATGAGTAGGTATTGCAGTGTCGATACTTACGTTGCTGCTTTCAAAAATTCAATCACTTAATGCCGCAAGAACATTACATTAGAAGGTGTAATTTGCGAGCCTGTCATTAACGATATAAGATATAGAGCTTTAAAAAGAAACACAAAAGAATTTTGCACAAAAAAACAATGCTTTGTAAATTCATCTTCGATTGCCTTACTTTTGAAGCTGTCGCACTGATGTACGATAAAAACCTTGCAATCATTGTTTTCATTGTCTATGTGAGCAGATTCTTGCTATTTCCAATTGTTATTGTCAACATCTAATTGTAAGAAAAAGCGTCTCCATGAGCTCTGCTCTTTGCATGCTGTAAAGAGAAAATGTTGTACTTTATAGCGCACATTGAAGATCTTTTGAATGGCGCTTTTATTATGTTGTTGCATAAGTTCTTTCCGATTTTTTTTGCCTTATGTTTGAGGCAGCTGTTCTAAGAGAATTTCATCTCTACTGCGGTATTGTTAGTATCATTAAAAAGTGCTTTTCTTGCGCTTTCTAAGGCATATCAAATTTCAATAAACTTCTCAGTGTAAGGAGATTTCAGGCCTAAAATCTCCAATTGGCTGAGGTACGTTCTCACCCTAGAAATATGTTCTTGCGAGGAAATCTCCACAATGCGCCCTTCAGGTCAAGTTTTTCAAATGGTAGCGGAATAAGGGTGTAATAGGCTAGCATACGCATAAGTTCAGTTCCATGAAGAAAACGTCTTGATAGTAAAATTTATTGTCAAACATTAATTTTCTGTATAGATGTTTTACAAGCTATAACTTTCTGTGAATGGAAGTAATCGACGACTTCAAAGTTGGAGGTGCTAGCGTAAAGCAAGGGCTAGCGGAGACCATCTACCAATTTTTTTTCGGCGCTCACGGCAACTATAAAATTTTCGTAATTTGTAAATAGGCATGCATACATGCGCTGAAGCGAGGTCAAAAAGTGGCCAATTTTTTGCTTGGTCAAAAAAAATCTCTTGACCACGCAGGACTATGGGCTCTTTTATGTTATAAAATAATCTGCGAAAATTTTCCTATCTATCCTTTGTTAGACAAGATGCCTATCAATTCCCATAAGGGAGCATTGCCATGTCAAAAAAGACAGGTTTGGAGAAAAACGATGTGAAGTTTTTGAGTTCTTGATTCTTCCTTAAAGGCAGCGTCCAGGCAAGTCTGGACCTATGGGGATTTTACGTGGAAAGTACTTTTGGGGCCCTAACTAAGCCACTGCCCAACCGGCAGCTCAGGTAGTGCCCTAACGCATGACATATTCCCCTCGAAACTGGACCCCGCGACCGTGTTTCTCATGGATTCATGGCGCAAAGCGTGGATCCTGGCGCGAAACTGCCATGAATCCATGCGAATACGATCGCGGGGTCCAGTTTCGAGGAGAATATCTCAGCCGTTAGAGCACTACCTGAGCTGCCGCTTGGGCAGTGCCTTAGTTAAGGCCCCAAAAGTAGTTTCCACGTAAAATCCCCATAGGTTCAGATCTGCCTGGACGCTGCCTTTAACATGGATTTCCGCAGGCTTCAATATGTGTCTGATAGCTAAGGAATTGCTCAACAAATAGAAACTAAGATCTTGGGAAAAAGCTGACTTTGAAAGAAGTTATGACATTTTGAAGTCAAAAATTTCAAATCAAACAGAACTTATGCAACAACCTAATATGACGACTGGTGTGAATTGAGATGATGTGGTGGATAATAATGCATGCTTCAGCAACTGCTCTCCCACAATATTTCTAAAATGGAAGGTGCCATGTGCAGGATAAGTGCGATTTTATCGCGGAAGCCACGTAGAGCCACGTATGCCGCACACTCTGGCCCAACCTTCAAAAGAAGCTACTCAGACACTCGCTGTTGACTCGCGCCGGAGATCCGCCCCTTTTTGAGGGATTCGCGGGAAAGGGCGTAGACATGCGAGAGACAATATTTTGACAGTTTTTGCGGATGGTCGCGGAAGGATATCGGGAGATGATGAGTGACTCAGCGAGCAGTTTCGCAATATCGACGCGCATTTCAAATCTCAGCTCATATTGCATCATTCCAGGTTTTTTGCTACCTATTTTCAATTCGTGCATTCCATCCATCCCACCTAATCCCTCTTCTTTCCATTATTTCATTCCAATCCAAAATCAACTTTATTTGAAATCCAATTTTGAAGCTTCTTCTCTAGAAATCGAAGCTCGACTATCTCGATTGTGGGATTGTGGAATTTGATTTCAAATTACATTGGTTTAGGAACCAACTGAGGCATTCAAGGTATTTTAAGGCATGATGATGGAGATGGAGACGTAGATGGGAGATGTACGGGCTTATGCACTGAATCCGGTAAAAGCTAAACTCCTTCCTTCAAAGGTAAGATGTCAGTGCACTTATTCCCAATCTTCGTCGACATGGTTTTTTCTTTTCAGAAGAAGCGTGTGATCGAGACTACGGCAAGCAGCTCTTCTGCTGTCAAGGAAATAGAAAAGACCAGCCGCGACGAGTTTTATCCGATCTGCCACTATTTTTTTTTAATTTGCTGTACTTACATATCACTATCATACCATTTGCCTTAAACTCTACTCCCGCTTTTGCGTATCACTTAATTGCATTCCGAGATTCTCATTGTTTAGAAGATTACCAAGTACACTTCTATCTCATCATGTATCTCCATAACGTGAAACTTTAAGATAGTAAACATAGTAGTTTGACTCCCACGAAAATCTTATTTGATTCTCTTGCGTGGCTACATTGAACCATAACTCTAACTCTAACTCATAACTCTAACATAACTACTTTAATCTTAGGAACATTGAAATGTTCCTAAGATTGAAGTAAATTCACTATATGCTAATGAAGTTTCCAATTAATCCTCATGTCATTTTAGAAGTAATAAATTGGTCAGTTTAAACTTTGTAGAATTCATTATATATACGTGTACATATATACATATACAGGGTGTCCCAAAAAGATGTGCACACTGTTTGATCGTTAATAACTCTTTTGCTTTCATGTCTTTTGCCGAGCTTGAGGTACCATTCTATAGAGCGAGGATAAACTTAGATTCACAGTATGGAGCGAATAAACAATCGTTCTTCGTTACTGTAGGATCACGGTAGGAACTCTCAGCATACAGCGTCACTGTGGAATAAGCCTTTTGATGAAATAATTTCGAAAAAATCCAAAAAATTGTGTAACAAGGTTTTTAGGCGTGCTGATTTTACTACGTAACTTTCCACCAGTTTTTCGAGCTTTCTTGATGGCGTATTCACATTTCTAACAAATATTGGAAATCAGTTTTTACCCTAAATCTGATATAACTCATGAAAGAAACAGTGTACTGACGTGCAATTTTCATATTTAGGATTATTAGGTTGTCAAGAAAATAATGTCGTTTTTCTCGGGTTTTTTCGTGTAAAATTGGTATTACTTGAGAACTAGAGCATGTCCAAAGCCGAAATTTTATGGTTAAATTTACGAAGGTTTGTGGTATACAAAGACATATGTGGGAGGGGCCCAGTACTACTGGGGGCGGAGTTTGCCATTTTCCATTTTTCAATTTTTCTTGGTTTCTAAGCATGGAAAAAATATAGCAAGTGTACCTATGGATAAGTGCATGTGTTCTTTACAAGCAGGAGCAAGTGAGAGGTCCGCAGGATTTTCTAGGGCGAAAATCCAATTTTTGGCACTACGAGTTGCTCGTATGTTTTGGCTCTGAACTTTTCGTAAATAACAAGTTCTGCCAATGTTCGGATATCATCTTGTAGAGTTTCCTTTGCTCTATCGATTGGTACCCCTCACAATGCTTTTTGGATTTGTCCTATGGCTTTGCTATGAAAAACGACATTATTTTCTTGACAACCTAATAGCAACTTCGATTGACCAAGTTCATGAGTTTCTGGCTTTTGGCTTTTCTTTCTGAGGCAAAAAACTGCTTCTAATGGCTCAAAATCCTTTCCGAAATTCCTATCGTAATCCTACAGTAATGAAGAGCTGCTTATAAATCGCTCCATACCGTAAATCTAAGTTGAACCTCGCTCTAAAGAATGGTATTTCAAGCTTGGCAAAAGACGTGAAAGCAAGAGAGTTATTAACAATTAAACAATGTGCACATCTTTTTGGGACACCCTGTATATATGTACACTTATATATACATATATATAAGTGTACATATATACATATATTAGGTCGTTCCGAAAGTTCTTTCCGTTTTTCCAACCTATCATAAAAAGACGTGGAATGAAGGTAGGGAAACGCTCTGGGCAACATACGACGCAGCTTTTCTTCCCCTTTCTAGCAGTCATACTCCCATGTCGCTTACTCTTGTGATCACTGAGATGATGGCCGAAATTTCGAACCCATGGTTTTTACCATATCCAATTTTGGCAATTTTTCACAATCTTCTTTTTTGACTTTTGGGAAAGCTTTGATAACAGCTAGATAGAGTAAACAAAGTGCAATACAATGCAATTTTTTCGCATATCCAGCTGGCCTTTCACTATTTTTTGAGATAATTTTTCCAAAAGTCTTCACTTTTGCAAAGTCCCAAAATAGAGAAGCGCCCGAACACCGGCAAATCTACGGATTTTGAAGCTTTCAAAAGTCAGTTACGATTATCCACAATTTTTAGAAAGCAATTGAGCGTTTACCGCTTGGAAATATAAGGTTTCGCATTTTACGTGTACAGGCTGGGGCCGGTTCAAAATCAAGAATTATGGGAACTTTATCGCCAAAGGCCCCACAAACTGGAAAGAAAATATATTCATTAGAAATAGAAGGAAAATCTGCATCGAATCGTACCTTAGTTGTGCGCCGTCTTATGTTCTATTGCTCTTGGCATCCTCAAAAATGGAATTTGATAGCATCAGGAAAATAATTCTAACAATTTTTTAAAGCTAGCTATCAAAGCCGAAAAATTGCATTAAATTGCACTTTGTTTACTCTATCTGGCTGTTATCAAAGCTTTCCCAAAAGTCAAGAAAGAAGATTGTGAAAATTTGCCTAAGTTGGACATGGTAAAAACAAGGGGTTCGAAATTTCGGCCATTACCTCAGTGATCACAAGAGTAAGCGAGATGGGAGTATGACTGCTAGAAAGAGGAAGAAAAGCTGCGTCGTATGTTGCCCAAAGCGTTTCCCTACCTTCATTCCACGTCTTTTTATGATAGGTTGAAAAAACGGAAAGAACTTTCGGAACGACCTAATATATATGTACACTTATACAGGGTGTCCCAAAAAAATGTGAACACTGTTTGATTTTTAATAATTCCCTTGCGTTCATGTCTTTCGCCGAGCTTGAGGCACCATTCTATAGAGCGAGGTTCAGCTTAGATTTGTAGCATGGAGCGAATCACCGGTCACTCTTCGTTACTGTAGGAACTTCGACAAGGAATTTAGGCCATTGGAGGCCATATTCTGCCTCGGAACAGAACAAAACAAGCCAAAAACTTCTATATTATATAATGGAAGATGCTGATTTCGAATATGAAATTTTCACTTTACTGTGATGCTTCCTTCCAAGGTTTTCCTAGGTAAACCGTAATAACTGAATTTCCAGCATTTGTCACAAATGTGATATAAATTCAAAAAAGCTAAAAACACTCGTAAAAAGTTGCGTAGTGAAATCAGCGTGCGCAAAAACCCTAGTACACGATTCTTTAGATTTTTTGAAAAAAATTTTTCAAATGGTATATTTCACAATGGATTCACATGCTAGAAGTTAATACCGTAATCCTACAGTAACAAAGAGCGATCGGTGATTCGCTCCATACTACAAATCTAAGTTTAACCTGGCTCCACAAAATGGTGCTTCAAGCTCGGCGTACATGAAAGCAACGGAGTTATTAACGATCAAACAGTGTTCACATTTTTTTGGGACACCCTGTATATACATATATATACATATATGTACATTTATATATATGTATATATAATGTATATTTATACATACACATCTATATACATATATGTAATGTACAGCAAGTAGGGATATAGCGAAATTACTAGTGCGAGATAACGCGCTCCAGTTGCGTCCGGACATCAGGATGTGTCGCTCTCGAGCTGCCGCGTATTCCCTGCAAGACGCGGGTCGCGTCAAAGCGTGGTCTCGGGCAGCATTGTTCCGACACATAATGCTGTCTCGGGATTTCGTCGCGAGGCCGATTACTTGTGTCGCGCCTTCATTCAGCGCTTACACAAAACTTTGGGCTGCGCGAGTCAACAGCGAGTGTCTGACAAGGAGAGGATACTTAGTCGAAAGCACCAACCCAGATGACATATATCGTCGTGACGTGCCCGGAGCGCTGATTTCAAATCTGGCAAATCTGCGGAGCGCCTTTGGTCAACGAGTTATGGTTGTTTTTGTAGAGAAAATTTGAAGTCGATGGAAGAAAAATATTATACGCAGAAGTCTCCAGTTGGGCTCGAATGGGGGAGTGATATCTGTCAGATTACTCTGCGCATAGAAAAATGTCTGTTTGCTATACCCACACTTAAAACGAGTCTATCTGCGAAATATACATGTTGTAACAATCAATTTTATTCTCTTTACTCATCCAGCTTTTGGCTCTTGAAACGGTCATAGCTCCCCACCCAGAGGCGCTCCGCAAATAAGGAGGACAGATTTGAAATCAGCGCTCTGAGCAGGTTACGATGATATATGTTTCATCTGGGTTGGTGCTTTCGACTAAGTATCCTCTCCTTGTGAGTAGAGCGATGCGCAACTTGACAAAAGTGCTGTGGTAGGGAAGTAAACTATGTATATGCCATGGTGTGATGAAATTTCAGAGATTTAGTTGGGACCGAACATTTTCCAATATTTGTATTCGAATGATTTGTTCAAATTAAAATAGTCGAATATTCAGGAAGTGTATCTATTCGATTATTCGAATAGTCAAATAAATGGAAAAGATTTTTATTTGAATATTTGTTTATTCAACGAATTGAAAAATAACTTGTCCGAATATTCAAATGAAATTTAGAATATTCGAATAATTCATTTTTTTGATTCGTCAAAGAAACAGATATTTAAACAAAGATCTTTTTTATTTACTTGACTAATTGAAAATCAAATATGCAGATGCACATTCCTGAATAGTCGGCTATTCCATTCGAATAAATCATTCGAACATGAATAATTGAAAATATTCGGTTCCAAATATTAAGTTGATGCATAATTCCTGCACTAAAATAGGTAAAGACCTCAATAATCCGATTTTCTTGTATCTTAAATTGAAGTTCACGCGAACTTTCAAGCCGAAAACTTAGATTAACCATGCGCCCGAAAACCTATAGACAAATTAAAACAAAATTGTAACTCCGTTCAAACTTCTACAGGAGTAAAACCTTACTTTTTCAGCCTTCTCGAAGAGCTTCACAAGAAATATTAGGTCGTTCCGAAAGTTATGTCGCTTTTTTTCACATGAACGCCACATTCCATGGAATCAAGATTTTCATGAGATCTTAGAAGCATTCGATGCAGCATTTTATCCTCTTTCTAAAGATTGTAATTTCATTGCATAATATTCAGTGAGCTCTCGAAAAATTACCAAAGTTTGCAAGTCTTGCTTTTTGCCATAGTCAAGTTCGGCTACTTTTCTACTTTTTGTACCTATTCTCCAAGAAGTACAAGTGACTAATAGATAGAGCAAACCCTATAGGACACATAATAATTTTTTCTATTCCTTAGCTTGCTTTTTAGAGTTTCTGGAATCAATTT